AAATTATTTTAAATAATCTCTATACTCAATGTGGGGCTCAAACTCACAACCCTGAGATTCGGAGTTGCATGCTCCATTGACTGAGCCAGCCAGGCGCCCCTATTGTGCACTGTTTTAATTGCTGTAACTTTATATGTTTTGCTATGGTTTTTTCCCATCCTTTTTTCTTCACCTATTCTTTATTTTAAATAAGTTTGGACATTTTTGTCATTTTAAAAAACATCCTACTTGAATTTATTTTATTTTTTTAAAGATTTTATTTATTTATTTATTTATTCATTCCGGGGGGGGGCACGAGTGCAGGGGGGAGGAGCAGAGGGAGAAGCAGACTCTCTGTTGAGCAGGGAGCCCGATGCGGGGCTTGACCTGATCATGACCTGAGCCGGAGGCAGACGCTTAACCAACTGAGCCACCCAGGCACCCTCTACTTGAATTTTTTTTAAAGAATGTTTTATTCTGATTATAAAGTAATGCAGGGTCTTAGAAAATAAAGAAAGAAGGAGAAACTAAAACCCACGTTTCCTATCATTCAGAGTATTCTGATAGGACTTGTGTAAAACACTAAATAATCTGCAGTATTTGGCCTTTCATCTGTCATTTGCAGGAACCAGACTGATGCAACCCACATATTTATCAGGGAAGTCTTATACCTTGCACAGTTCTACTTTATTTCCAGCTTCATCCATCTCTTCCTTTAGGGTATCTATTTTTGACGGAAGCCCCTGGAAGTTGGTTCCTGAAGATTTGTGAGCCTGGTTCCACCTGCAAAACATGGGGACAACCAGCATCTAAGAACCAGCTGCACATTCTCGACCTTGTAGAGTCAAGGCCCTCAGGGAGACAGACTCTTTCTCCAGAACAGATTCTACCTGGGATAGGCAGCATACCTAGGATGTCAGCGTCTCCTGAGTTTATCCTCCAGGAATGGAAGCAAGCAAAAAGAACCAGGAGCTCCCCGCCATGCCAGGACTCTCGCTCTGAGAGTCTACCACATCTTGTCTCACACACGCCCCACTGCTGGAAATCATGCCGTGAAACCCCTTTCCCGTAGTGTCCAATTGTGGTATCCTTGCCATGAAACACCCCTGCGCTCTCCTGCTTTGATCTGGAATGTTCCTGTGCCACTGGGAGTCAGTCCCACTCTTGGGTTCCTATGACTCTTCCTGCTACCATCCTCATCTGAGATTACTTCCAGCAAGTAAAACCTAGAACTTTGGTCAAGCAGCTAGCAATCCATAGCTAGGAAAGCACTTGTAGAATTAAAAACAGTTGTTAGAATTAATATTCTAAACACCAAATTTATAGCAAATCTGAAGCATAATGTGGAATATTTACATTCCCTTTACAGTAGGTCAGAAGGACTGAAAAAAAGGTTATACCATAGCAAGAGTAGGGGAGTGCAGGGGGGGATAATAATCTAAAACAATTTCTGTGTGCTTTGACCTTCTCTTTGAGTATGGGTTATGTCTGCTATTCTGGAAAGTTCCAGCAGTGTAAATGTAAACATGGATATTACAGAGATGAAAACCCATGCTAGCAACTCATCAACCTTTCCAGCTGCTGCACTGCCCCCCCCAAACATTACGCTCTGACTTCTCTCCAGTTCCTGATGTGAGGCACTCCTCCAAAGCGGGGCTTCGGCGAGTCTGCCAAAGCTAAGCTTGGCAATGCTGTGTAGTGTGGACAGAGCATGGACTTCAGAGTCGGACATGCTCGGGTTTGAAGCCTGGCTCTCCCATCACTAGCTGTGTGACCTTGGGCAATGACTTAACCTCTCTGTGCCTTAGTAATCTCATCTGTAAAAAGAAGATAACAAACACGGTCTGTCTTGCAGAACCATCATAAGGAATCAGGGAGAGAACAAATATATATATATGTATGCGTATGTGTGTGCAGATAATATCTGCCATATAATGGACTCCTACTTAGAAAATAAGCAGTAATTAGTCATTAGCTATGATCATTTTCCTCCAGGAAAGAGCCACAGGAATAACAAAAGAAGAAATATTCCACTGTTCGTTTCTCTAATACCTGCTTTGATTGGTTAAGTGAACAAGACCATGAATGCAGATCAAGAATCCGTGTTGAAATCCCTTCCAGGATACAGGTACTGTAGATGTAAAATTTCTGGCAGATAAGCATCTATAATGTCACTCAACCAACTCCAGTGAGGGAGCATTCTCGGCCTCATTTAATTAACCATTAGAACACACTTCCTTATCTGGAGCAAAAAAAAATCGACCTCAGGGTGGCCTCTACTCCTGGTCCTGACCCAGAGGATTCTAATCACAGGTGTACACGTGACGAGGAGACAAGACGGTGGACTTTAAGACAGGCTCCTAGCCCAGACGTTTATCACCTCGGAAGCATGAAGCAAGTCATGTGGGTAACTCTGTGCAGGTTCCTCCATGATCCATAAAAGAAGTCTCTTCTCAAGAGGAAGGGGTGTTACCTAACCCACTGACCTGTTCCCTCTCCAATCCTCACCGAGGGGCTTCAAACCCGAGCATGTCCGACTCTGAAGTCCATGCTCTGTCCACACTACACAGCTCTGCACATAGTACCTAGCATGGAGTCTGACACAGTAAGCACCCAACTGCGATCTGTCAAAAATATGAATGAGCAAATGAATAGAAACGGGTGGAGGAATCAAACAAGCCGATGTACCACGTATGGAGCTCAATGCCTCGCACGTGGCACGTGGCACGTGGCACGTGGCAAGTGTATGGTCAGTGGTGGCAATTATTTTTACCATGTAGCTAATTCCTAGACGTACCTTTTATGATCTCAACATTTCTTTTTTTTTTTTTTAATGATCTCAACATTTCTTAAATCAGGACATGTCTTAACAAGGGATTTGTACATTGAGTGGAGTGGTGTTTCTCCCCACCGACCAAAAGTAGGTATTAAATCAGTGGTGCATAGATACTCAGTGGTATCTTAGAAATGAGGAAAGGCTGCATTGTAGAATCGCTACCGACGTTCTAAATCTGCAATAAAAAACACGTGACAGGAGAAGCTCGGGAAATGATGGCTGTCTCTCCATATATTTGCCAAAGAGAAATCATCATATCCATTTCACAGGACTGCAATGAGAACAAACTTACAAAATAAATAAGTCACAAAGATGAAGAGCGCAGCATAGGCAATATGGCCAATAATAATGTTAATAACACTGTACGGGGACAGATGGTGACCACACTTATTGTGATGAGCACTGAGCCACGTACAGAATTGTTGAATCAATGTTGTGCACCTGAAATTAATACAACATTGTGTGCCAATTATTCTTCAATAATTAAAAAAAAAAACCAGAGAGCTAACAACAAAGCCACTTTTTTTTTTTAATAAAGTTTTATTGGAAGACAGCCACACTTTCATCTACTTATGGTCCAGGGCTGTTCCTGTGCTGCATCAGCAGAGTTGAATGGCTGTGACAGGGACCACCTGGGTTGCAATGCTGAAAATATTACTATCTGGCCCTTTACAGAAAGTTTAGCAACCTTGTGATAAAGTCTGAGAAAGGACGGGGCCAGGGGCGGCTGCCTCCATATTCCCCACTCTCATCCGAGGAGAAAGTCACGTAAGTCACTGATACAAATGCCCTTGGGGACAGAGCTAGGCTGGAGTCCTGCCACGAGGCTCTGCAGACCATCCGTCAGGCATCAGCCCAAAAGTCAGGAGCCCTCTGGGATGGTTACTTAGTTTTATGGGAGTTTCTCCCTCTTGAGCTCAGCATTCGATTATGAAAGTATCATAACCACATGGCGTCTGGACGTGGCAGGACCCTCAGAACTGCTAAGATCACAGATCTATTTATTCCTACGGTCCCCTATCCTAGCAACAAACACTCAGAACTGTCTGCCACTGATCCCTCTCCCCTTAAAACACTTACTTAGGTTTCTTTCTTTACCTTTTTTTTTTTTCTGTCTCCCTTTACTGCTGGTTCACTAAGAACAGGATGTTCTAACATCATCCCCATTGCCACGCTTGGGAGAATGAGACCTAAAAAGCAGGTGTAAGTGGGCGTGACTTGGTCTATGGGTCAGGTGCATGAATCTGGAAACCTGCATCTTGTCCACCGAGTGGCCTTTCTCTCATCTGTGCTGGGGACAAGGACGGTTGCTGGGGGAGTGACAATAATACTGCATTATTGGTTATTTTTGCAGCTCTACCTTACCTGGCTCTGACCGAATCCCAGTCCAACACCAATTTAGCAAGCTGTTTCCTCTGTTTCTGGATGTTGGGAATCTCCATCTAGAAAGAACATACCACATATCCAACGGCATAAGCTTTGGGGTTTTAAACTTAACATTCGAAAGGGCAATATTTATTCAATTTTTTTTTTCCTCTTAGGCATAGGATTTTGTACCCTCAACTTATTCCCCTTATTTCCAAAAAGAAGCTACGTCAAAGCCACTGGTCACTGTTAAACTTGTAGACATAAGCAAACCATTCACCACACAGCCCACACTAGTTTTGGCTCTTGTATGCCGTCCGGCAAAAGCACCCACCTCTGCTATGCTGCCCAGAGGTTCCACGATCTCTCTCTCAACAAAGACTTCATGCTGAGCAAGTTCTAGAGCCAGCTGATTCTCGGCATCGCCACACGTCTCCAGCATCTTCCTTTAAAAACACAAGACACCCCACAACAAGCGTATGGTCATTAAATCAGGTGCCTCATTACCATACTGGGCCAGTTCTGCTCTCTACATGATGGAAACACATTAGGGGGCTGCACAGTAGAACCTCAAAAATGTTGTAAGTTTTGGGCATCACCGAAAATGTGAGTCCACAGACTTATGCTTTAAAATGAAAAAGACTGTTCATGTGCATTACCAAATGTGTCTTATGCCTCTGTTAAATTGATAACTATCTTGCTAGGTTCATGTTTCATCTGTTGTTGTACAAAATAGTATATTTATATAGCCAAAGAATCTGTTTTTTATTTTTTTTAAAGATTTTATTTATTTGAGAGAGAGCACGAGAGAGAGCGAGAGAGAGAGGGAACACAAGCAGGGGGGGAGGGCAGAAGGAGAGGGAGAAGCAGACTCTCTGATGAGCATGGAGCCCAACATGGGGCTCGATTCCAGGACCCTGGAATCAGGACCTGAGCCAGAGGCAAACGCTTAACCGACTGAGACACAGAGGCGCCCCTAGGAAGTGACTCTTAAGGACCGGAAGGGGCTGGTCAGAGTTTGTAAACCTGAGTCAACAGCTGGAACATGGAAGGGGTTTGTTCTTTACACCCAAGCTCAGGAGAATAAAAATTGACCCTATCAATGACTTTTGCTCGCAGCCCTTTCAACCCATCTCCAGCCTTGCTCCTACTAAATGGAAGATTCTCTACCATCCCAATGGCACGGACCCCACTTTTTCCCCACAGAGACTGCGCTGTTCTCCCGGGGGATGAGCCACGCCATCACGCTCACGGTCCCTCTGTCACACAGACAGCTGCCACACACCCCCCCCGCCCACCCACTCCCACTGCCCCGCAGGGCACAGGGCTCTCTCCCTAAAAGCAGCTGACTCTTACCCCAGCAGAGACTCTTCCAGTTGAGTCGATGCTTCTTGCATGTTCTGAGCGAGAGCGGTCAGAGGGAGTTTTTTCTGGAAGGCAGAAGACAGTGTGTTGGTTGCACTATTTTTGACACCTACATTCTCGATGACCTGCTTCAGGTCACCCTTCAGGGATTTCTCCTGCAGGCAAACTGCACAGGTAAGAGACAGCCTGTCTGGGTTCCGATTCTGGTCTCGAAGGTAGAAGCTATGGGACCTCTGTATCCGCGTCCTCATGCCTGGATGACACAGACGCATGGTAATAGTGCAGGTGTCCTAGGGCTGTCTGTCTACGGGGATATTCAGTGTCAAGTGCCCAGCACATGGTAAGTGCTCAGTAAGTGCTGACTGCTAGTATTATTGTTGTGGCTGCTGTTAGCTGTTATTTTTATTTTTATTCATTTATTTATTTAATTTTTAAGATTTCATTTATTTATTTGACAGAGAGAGACACAGTGAGAGAGGGAACACAAGCAGGGGGAGTGGGAGAGGGAGAAGCAGGCTTCCTGCAGAGCAGAGAGCCCGACGCGGGGCTCAATCCCAGGACCCTGGGATCATGACCTGAGCCGAAGGCAGATGCTCAACAACTGAGCCACCCAGGTGCCCCAGCTGTTATTTTTAATTAATCAAGTGCATGCCATGTCCCAGACACTGGGAACAGAAGACACAGACTTTGCTCTCTGATGATCTTAACAAATAAGCACAATAAAATGCTCAGTTTCAAAAACTTTTGCTAGAATACTCTCTTTTTTTAAGATTTATTTATTTTGAGAGAGAGAGAGAGAGAAAGAGAGTGGGGGCAGGGGCCAGAGGAAGAGGGAGAGAGAGTCTTAAGCAGACTCATGCTGAGCCCGACACAAGGTTCCATCTCACGACCTTGAGATCACGACCTGAGCCAAAACCAAGAGTCAGTCACTTAACCGACTTTGCCACCCAGGCGCTCCTAGACTACTCATTCTTAAACTGGCTCTTAATTTGGCTGTAATCATAACGATATAGCTTCAGTTAAGTATCTAAAAGTATCTGGCTAAAGGTCTAAAAAAGTTTTTTTAAGGTATTTAAGCACAAAGCCATGCATTTTCCTATCAGAGATTTGTTGTTCCGCTGGAAATGACCATAAGGATCATGTGATTAATGTTCTACTTGTCCAGTCAAGGGACCTGAAGCCCAGGGAGGTCAGGTGGACTGGCCGGGCACCCCAGTGAGGGGCAGCAGAGCCAGACCTCCGTGCCCACGGCCTGAGCCTCAGGTCAGCACCTTCCCACCCCTGGCTGATGGCTCATCTCAGAATACGGGTAGAAGGGGCCTGGAAAGTACCAGGGGTTGGCGATAACACACAATCTGTTAACAAAAAAATGGGTTCAGGGCTGCAGGGCTCCACTGCTCCACGTGGTTTGGACTCCCCAGTAGAAAGGGCCCTCATGGCAAAGACGCAGGGTACATCCTGCTGTGGCGTTGTTGAGCCTTGACCTCTCGCACGTCACCTGCCTTCCCGCTTTCAGGGGGCTCCATGCAATACAACGGGCACCGCATTTGCTTGCATTGTAGAGAATATCTCTGGAAGGCTACACAAGGAACTACCAGCACTGGTCACTCTGGAGAAGGCAGCAGGGCGCCTGGGGAACAGGGCCGGGAGAGACCTCGCTTTATGTTCTTCTGTATGTACTGGATTTTGACCATGTAAATAGGCAGCCTATTCGAGACAGTATATTGAAATGCAGAGATAAATAACAACAACTATATTTACCCATCTCTTGCCTGCTCAAGTTGTTTTCTTTTTTTTTTTTTT